TGAGCAATTTCCTGCATGTTCCTAGCACCCAGTGCTTACTGGTTCAGAAAGGCTCTACTTACTTTGAGATTTCTTCCTCATTGGAGTAGTGGTTCCTGACTCCCAAGTTGGCCAGCCAGTTCTCTTGTGGGGGGGTGGCCGCCTAGACTTCAGCCTCGAAGACCGCAGAGGGTGCCTTCGATGCCAATGGTTAGTGGGGGTATTGGACATTTCTTTTCTGGAACTTCCCCTCTACCTCTGAGGGAGTACCCCGGACGCTGCGATCAGGCCCAGGAGCCTGCGCCATGGCCGGGGAGAGCAAGACGCACAAATTGTATTTCAGCGCCGGGTCCTTCCGGGTTAATGAGCTGACACCATGATTAAAGCTGACCATTTGTAATGTGTCTCGACCCGGCCGCCGAGCCCTGAAGAGGTTAATGTGGTGACGGAGGCCGGCACCTGCCCCTCGCTAGCCTCCTGGGCCCCCGCCCCCTCCCCTGCCCCTGTCCCGGCTGCGCCACCGACCCCTAATCAATTAGCCCATTAACGAGCCCTTTGAGGAGTTAAGTAGGGAGAGTTCTGCCACGGGCAGGGCCGCAGTCGGTAACTCACCGCAGCTAATGATATTATAAGCGCTTTACTCAATAACCCGGGAGCGGTGCAGGCGAGGTTGGAACTGCACCGTCACGGTACAGTCTGGACGTTTGTGGGAACCGATTCCACAGCCTCTCCTTACTCTCGCCTCATCTGGGGGGTGTCTTAGGAACAGGACTCTTTCGATCTCTTGATTGAGAGGGCAGAGGCTGAAGCCTCCGGAGTGGAGAAGCCCGGGCGCCTTGGGCCTCTATAAAGCTTGTGTAGATAACTGCCTCAAATCCTTTTGCTTGCTGGGATGATTCTAGATCAGGTAACAGGTGATCTAGGGATTAAACAGGCAAGAGCCAGGGCTCAGAGTGAGGCCATGGGAAGAAAGGAGAGCACCAGGGTTTATTCAGCTCCACCTTGACCTCTAAAAGGGAAGCAATATTGCCCTCAATTTTGGGAATGAGGAAAGCAAGGCTTGCAAACTCTATCTTGCCCAAGGTCGTCTTGCTCGTATTTGAAGAGACTCTGCCCAATTCTAAAACATCTCTATAGTTGTTTCTCTTCTTTTTCCCAAGAGCAACGCGTTTCTATTTTTTGTAGCCATCCTGAGACCGCTAATATTTACCTCTCTCCCCTCCAAATAAGCTTCATTTACGGTGGGGGAAGGCAGACTGTGTGCTACTCCGCCAAAGTTTAGGAAATAACTATCATGCCCTCCTGGGTTTTTGCATTTTCCCACCCCCAAGGGACCGGGTCTTCAAAACAGGAGAAGGGAGCTGGTGATGGTAAGGAGTTCGCCTGAGGGCATAGAGGCTTCCCCTTTCCAAAATCCAGTGGCGTCGGTTGGCCAGTGACAGGGGAGGGGTCAGCAGATGGAGGGAGGCCAAAGTCTCCTCCTGTGTCCTCCAGCTACTCTCTAGGGACTTGCATCTCTGAGCCCCTGGGTGTTAATTTACCCCAGCCCAACGCGGGCTGCCTTGGGTCAGCATATCTGCCGGCTCCCCCAAGGCTGGAACCGGTGGAAGGCTCTGGAGGGTGGCGGCAGCCCGTGGGAGCATCTGGGATGCGCAAGGACCCCTTGCCAAAAGAGCTGTCGGGTCACTCCAGCTCTGGAGAGGCTAGGGTCCAAGCCAGGGTAAAGACCAGGAACCAGGGCTGGATTTTAAGCTGCCTTCGGCCCCAGATGCCCGGGGCTGGGCAGAGTCGTTGCCCGCCAGGTACTGGGCGTGCTCCGGGCGCTCACCGGTACGGTGCGCTGGGCCCCAGCTTTTTAAAAATTTCCGGGGCCGCTTCGCAGCGCTGCGATTGGCCGCGATCGGGTAACCTCTATGCAAATGAGGCCGCGCCGCCTCTGCGTCGCCCGAGACCGGTGGAGTTGGCAGGCGAGGAAGGGACATTCGCACCGGGGCTGGGCGGGCTCACCCAGAGCCGGGCGGGCAGGGACCCCGGCGCAGTGGTCCGGTGCCTGCGCGTCCCGGCGCGCAAGGGACGCCTCGCCAGTTCCGTCGCCCCCTCCCCCTGACATTCCTCCCCGCCCCTCCCCCTGCCTGCCTGCATTCACCACCATCCACCCTGATCATCTCTAAAGGGAGTTCTCGGTTTCCTCCGATTTCTTATGAACCCAGGATGGGCAGCAAGGAAGATGTGGTCAAGGGATGTCCGGCGGCCGGTGGCGTCTCCAGCTTCACCATCCAGTCCATCCTGGGCGGGGGCCCTTCCGAGGCACCGCGGGAGCCCGCCGGCTGGCCGGCCAGGAAGCGCAGCCTGTCGGTGTCCTCCGAGGAGGAGGAGCCGGACGAAGGCTGGAAGGCGCCCGCCTGCTTCTGCCCAGACCCGCACGGCCCCAAGGAGCCAGGCCCCAAGCACCATCCCCCCATCCCTTTTCCTTGCCTGGGTAAGGATCGCACGTCGCGAGTCTGGCTGCGCGTGAACGGGAGCCCAGTCGGGGTGCCCCTCCAAGACTCCGGAGCCGGGCACCCTCCGGGCACAGCTGCGGCCGTTGGGAGTCCAGGGCAGAGGGGAGGGGACCCTGCGCCAGCCGTGCCTCTTCTGGAGGGCGGGCGCTGGGAGAAGTAGGAAAGTACCGACCCAGGGAGGCTCGGGCGGTCAGGGGAAGACTGGGTTGGAAGGAGTGTGGACCAGAGCGGGCCAGGAGCTCTGCGGTAGGTGCACGGACGCTGACCACTGTCTTTTCGCACCCGGGATACTTTCCCCGACCCAAGATCTGCAGGTCATATCTGGGCGTTCTGTCTATCCAGCATTCTCTTTGCGTCTTTTCCCTCCTCTCTGTCTCTTAGAGTGATTAGCACTCTAAGATGATTGACAACGGTGCTGTTCAGAGATGGTTCTTCTTTGTAACATCTGAGCGAGGAGAGCCCGGGTCAGTCCTTGGCATGACTTCCAAAGAAACGGCCTGTAAATCGATGTCACCCTGTACAGCTGGGGGAATTCTTCCAGCTGAGTTCTTACAAGACAAAAATCTACCTTTAAAACATTGTGTTAATGTCTCCACTCCAGACTTCTTCCCCTGCTACCACCTATACTTTCGTAAGATTGGGAGTAGAGACCGCCAAGATCGGATTATCTGGGCCCTTCTGTTGCTTTGAAAGGCCGCTGGGCTTTGGGTACTAGCTGGAGGCAAAAAGGAGGGGGTTGTTAATAGGGGGTCAAGACTGCAGCTGTCTGTCTGCCAGCCTCTCCTAGTCGTGGGAAGAGCCGAGGGTCTTCTAAGCTCATCAACTCCATGGTCCTGTTTGTCCTTGCCCTCCAGGTACCCCCAAAAACAGCGGAGGCGCGGGGCCCGCGGGCTCGGAGCGCACGCCTTTCCTTTCTCCTCACTCGGACTTTAAGGAAGAGAAAGAGCGGCTCTTGCCGGCCGGATCGCCCTCTCCAGGCCCAGAGCGGCCGAGGGACGGCGGTGCAGAGAGGCAGGCGGGCGCGGCCAAGAAGAAGACGCGCACGGTCTTCTCGCGCAGCCAGGTGTACCAGCTGGAGTCCACCTTCGACATGAAGCGCTACCTAAGCAGCTCGGAGCGCGCCTGCCTCGCGTCCAGCCTGCAGCTCACCGAGACCCAGGTCAAGACTTGGTTCCAGAACCGCCGCAACAAGTGGAAGCGGCAGCTCTCGGCCGAGCTGGAGGCAGCCAACATGGCGCACGCGTCCGCGCAGACTCTGGTGGGCATGCCGCTGGTGTTTCGGGACAGCTCGCTGCTGCGCGTGCCGGTGCCGCGCTCCCTCGCCTTCCCCGCGCCGCTCTACTACCCCAGCAGCAACCTCTCGGCCTTACCGCTTTACAACCTCTATAACAAGCTCGACTACTGAGCCACCCGCCCGCTCCGCGCGCCCCGGCCGCCGACAGCTGCCGGCAGCTTCCCAGGGCTCCGGAGCAGAGCGGAGCGTCGCTAGAAATATTAAGAAATACACCATGTGTATTCATTATGTCTTATTTATGGCCTCTGCCCTACTGTTTTTGTTTCTTTTGTTTTGTTTTGGGTATTTATCTGCATTCCTCACTCCAGGTCGCCTGCTTCCTTACCCAAACCAAAACCAATACGCGTTTGAAAACTATTTTGGAAGGGGCTATTCTCCGGGTGGTGGTGGGAAAGGGAGTTTTGACCAGGTCGGCTTTGGCTGGTAGAAGAAGAAGAAGAAAAAGAAAAGACCAGAGAAACACCAACAAAACCAGATACACTCTTTCCCCCATATATCCACCTGTATAAGTACAAGGACACACGCTCAGCCAAGCCAGGCCCTCTGAGGCTTGGACATCGATCTTAATCACCTCTCTTCGTTCCCTTCATCCCGAGGATGGGTAGGGGTGAAAAAGTACAGATCTGTAAATATTTTTAAAGAGAGAGAAAAAATAAAACGTTTTAAACATCGTTGCTAACTTTGGAGGGGTTGATTGTCCGGCACCAAGGGTTTCTGGATTTTCAGTGGCCGAGCCAGCAGGCGTCTGCGTCTGCAAAGGTACCGTTTTCGCCACAGGAGGGTGGGCCGGGGTCAGAGGTCAAAGGTCTAGACCTAGGCACTGCCCTGGCGGCACGTGGCTGAAGCTGCCTATTCCCACCGCACAGTGCCCAAAGCTGCGGGTTGGGGAGCACTGGGGTTGGAATGCCGATCCCGATTCCGTGCGCCGCTAAAGACAAAGGCGGAGAGACAGGCCTGGCTGCTCAAGTGGTTGCCTTCTGGGAATGAGCCAGGCAGGGATGTGAACGTCTCCCTAGCTCTGGGTTCGCTGTGGGCTTGGCACGCCACGAGTGGCCCGAGCTGTGTGGCGCGCCTCGTGTCCTCCCGCGGAGGGAAGCCGCAGCTCTGCTCCGGGCTGGTAGGGCGTCGCTTGTGGTCTTGAGCCCCGCGCGACCCACTTGCAGCCTTGCACAGTTCCCTGTCCGGTGACACAGTTGCATGCCCTGCACAAAGCTAAGTGATGCCTCAAGGATCACTTCGGCTCAGGAGGGATCCAGGGCGCGTGCGACAAAGGCATTTCCCTGCACACTTTTTGTTAAGTTTGCATTGTGCGTGGCCAAATGGTCGGATCCCCGGCCGGCGCGCGGCGGCTGCTTCTGTATTGAACCCTGACGTGCGGCGGAGGCGCCCGCGGACTTTGGTGCCCAGACACCTGCCGCTGCGCGGGGGAGGCGCTTGCTGCACCCGGAGGATAGCTGCCCTGAGAGTCTTGCAAATCTGCTGCTCCTTTCTCTCCAGATCGCAGCCACCTGTTCCTTGTTAAACGTCGGAAATGGAAGCAGGAGGTTGGAGGAGGGCTATGGCTCAGCACTACGCAGGTGGAGTTCCTTGGTTCTCCGGCCTTGGAACCCGCTGTGGCTGAGCCGGTGCAAGGAGCTGAGAGCCAGCAGCGCCCCCGAACCCTCACTCTTTCTCTAGAAGAAAATCTTTGCTTGGGTGACTTGTCTCTGCACCGAATCATCAAAATTACTTGTATTTTGTAGAAATACATAGAATGTCTGTAAACGTTTATATAACCCGTACTTTTCTCTGAAAAATGCCTGGCCAAAAAGATTTGTCCTGATATTGCCCCCTCCCCCCTTTTTTCTTATTACATTCTATTTCTCAAAACCCCGCAACGATTTCAAGTGACGTCAGACCTGCCAATACTAGGTTGGTTCAATTGCATTTATTTAATTTCAGCCGGGTCCACATCAATAAGCATTTACTGGGGCCCTCCCACATGCTGAGAGCACACACTAAATTTTGGGCAGCCAGAAGAACACAGAAGAGGTGTGTCCGTTTTCTTCTTAATTCATTCCATTTGCAGAGTTTACTTCACTGAAGTTTTCTCATGCCAGTGACTTCCCTCTGATCCGCCACACGGAAACAACCAAATCACTTCAGAGGAATTTCTTGTATAGGGACGTTCCATTCATTTAATTCTGTCTGCATTTTACTAGATCATGATTTAATGATGTTTAATAGTAGTGGGTCACTATATTTTCTTGCTTACTCCTCGTATAAGAAGTGATTTCCTCCAGTAGGCTCTTAATGACAGTAAATTTGCCTTTCTGATTTTAGGGGATGGCTCTTTCCTAGTTATCAAATCCTGTATATTTCTCAGTCTTCAATAATCAAGAAATTAGCAGTGACAGGTGACTCACCAGTGCAATTTCCTTCTAGGAATTTTTTAAATAGGTAACTAAATATTATATACATGCACACACACACACACTTTGCATTTGTGTCTAAAAATGTTCAAGATTCTAGTGTTGCCTGATTTCCCAGCTCAAGTCTATCAATTCATTTGAATAATCAGCAAAATAATCACTCTTGTTTCAGGCTCTAAACTGGATTTAAAAGATTGACGTTTCCTAAAACTGGAATAGAGTCGGGCTGCAACTGCATGCCCAGAGGGACCTGAATCATACACACACTGGATAATGAAATACACTTAGATTTTATTAGCAGGTAATTTATGCTCAGAATCTGGAAACACTAATAGGATTAAATAAACAACTGGGAAAGAGAACCAAATAAGTCAAGAGATAAAATTATTTTGCTAAAGTTAGAATGCAAATGAGGCACTGCATTTAAAGAATTTGAACTTGACCACTGACTTGTTGGAAGAGAGGAAAGAACCAAACACCAGACTAACAGAAGAGGAAAGATGCAGAGGATATCTTAGCAGTAATGTTATCACTGTGATGGGAGGAAGGGATGTCACATGCACATTCTTCAATGCATTTAATTCAGAGTGTGAGCATGCTTAAATATCAACAAATTTTATTAATGTGCCTTAAAGCTAAACACTAATTTTTACAAACAACAACAACAGCAACAAAAACAGTGTAAAAGAAGTTGATGTTATGTATTAAATAGAAACTTTCAGGCAAATTTTGAAGTCCAAGAGCAACCCAGCTTCTACATTCTATTGATTAAGTATTGCTTCTCTTTCATAGAACTAAAATAATCTCTCATTACTGAAGAAACCCTTTGATCCTCATATTTCCGGAGTATTCTAGAAACAGAATATGGAACCTGCAATTCTGCAGTATGGCAGGGTAGTGTGGAAGGGGAGAAGATTGTCATTGTTAGGATCTTTAGAGAACATCCCTAAAAGAGGCTTTTGAACTTTAAAACACTGAAAAGTATTTGTTTCTTGCTCTGTTCACCCTTCTGGATGGGGAATTCTTTCAGGGCAAGGACTGATTTAATTACATATTCCCAGAGCCTCTTACTAGGCCTGGCATACGGGGGGATGCTTTATAATTGTGGAGCTAAAGCATAATAGAAATAAGCATCAGTTCCGATGAGATCAGTAGAACTTAAGAGAAATGAGACTGATTCATAGGTGCGACCCCAGCAAAACGAGGAAAAAAAGGAAGGCAAACAATCCGTTTGACTAGAACAGGTATTTCCTTTAATATATCAAGTTTTGGTTCATTACAAGGGTATATGCACGCCCAGAAAAAGAATAATAATTTAGCTCTACAGTAGTATCAGCCAAAACGGGATTCTGTGTCTGAGACACTGAGAGAGAGGGTTGTGGTCACAAGAGTAGAAAGAAACCATCTTTCCCGCCTCCTCTACGGTGCACAATCAAGGCGGTGGCCCCGAGGAGACTACACCTCCCAGCGTGCAAAGCGCTAATATGGGCGGGCATGAGCGACACATTGATGCGACAGCCCTTGGGAGTTGTAGTTTGCTCTGGCTAGCTTGCTGGGCCCGGCCTCAGCCGGGAGTTACGAAGAAACCACGTGAACGGAAAACCCGCGGTTTCCCTTTGAGCCGGAACAAGATGGCTGCGGAACGGACCAATTAGCAGCTTAGAGCGAGCCGTTTGCTTTCGAAATCAACCAATTGCAGGCCTGCACCGGAGCTTCCTCTTCGTCTTCGGCGCGCAGCCTGCGAGTGCGAGGCGGCGGCGGCGCGGCGGAGACGTTGCTTCCAGCCGAGCACGAGGTAAGCGGCTGAGCGAGGCCGGGCGGCCCTCAGGGTGGTCCCTGTGCTTGCTCGACGTTAAGGTCTGCGGGCCTGGCGGGGGCGGCGCGGAGAGTGGGCGTTCGGGTCCCGCCGCCAGGCCGACTCTGCGCAGGCGCACACGCCCCGTGGGCCTCCCTGCCACAGGTCCCCGCTCCCTGGCCGCTGACCCTGCGGTGCCCGTGCTCAGCCCTTGCTTTTTGTTCTGCAGATGACCGGTTCTAACGAGTTCAAGCTGAACCAGCCACCCGAAGATGGCATCTCTTCGGTCAAGTTCAGCCCCAACACCTCTCAGTTCCTGCTGGTGTCCTCCTGGGACACGTCTGTGCGCCTCTACGACGTGCCCGCCAACTCCATGCGGCTAAAGTACCAGCACACCGGCGCGGTGCTGGACTGCGCTTTCTACGTAGGTGCACCGGGCGGGCGGGCGGGCGGACACAGGCTCCGCAGCGGGCATCCCGCACCGGCTGCATCGCCTCCCTTGAGCCTCGAGTATACCAGCTAGTCTGTTTAGTATTATTACTATGTTTTTTCCTTCCTAATTTCAGTCTTCCATTTCAAGTTAAAGACTTGGGTAAACTTTCTGGACATAACCGTATTTGAAATTTGCAAGACTTATTTATCTGCCTTATGAAAAGAAAGGACTAGAAGGAATGCATGCTAAATTTTAGTTGCTGGTGTGAATGATTAGTTTTTGTGACTTCCTACAAGTTCACAGTACTCTAGTGTGTATTGCTCTGAATGTAACAGGAGCAGTTGGCTTTAGAACAGCGATTATGAAATGCTTGCTAATGCCCTGTAACTTTGAAGTGGTTCAAAATTTACTTTGTAGGATCCAACTCATGCCTGGAGTGGGGGATTAGATCATCAGCTGAAGATGCATGATTTGAATACTGATCAAGGTAATACGACTCCATTTTTTTGGCCAGTTTTTCTTTGCTAGGGTATTAGGGTATAAATGTTTATTTAGAAAGAGTAGTTGATGAACTGCTTAGTTTCTTAGATGCTTAGATACAGGCGAAAACATGGTTTTGACTGTTGGTGTTTAAGTGACCACAAAATGAGCATTTATTTTTGCTGTACAGCTCATTTTGACCACCGTCTTAAGTGTTTACAAGTGACACTTAAGCATTTGACTTTTACCTTGTCTTTAGATGTAGACTAGATCCAGTCATGTCTGTGATTTATTAGGATTTCCCAGAACTGTTTGGTATTTTAATGTTGTCTCTTCAAAAACAAATTTAAACCAAAGTTCATTTTTAGAAATATGTAATAAAATAGCCAATCATGTTTACATGAGTCCTGATTTTATATACTTAGCAGAATATATTTCAGTTACATTTCTAAAAATACTTTTCTTAGAGGTTCACACATGAAATGACTGGCCCTCATTTTGATGATCTCATGAGGCAGAAAGTGTCTCCACTGAGCTCCCTGAGCATTTGTCTGCCCCGTATTAGATGTGCATGTACTTGAAAGAGTGCCAGGGTATAAAGATGGAACCATGAGGCTGAGTTGAACAGTAGGAGGATGGACGGGGAAGATAGGTAACGTGTCAAAAAAAGGTGTCCAAGCTGGGTGTGATGGTGCACACCTGTAACCCACGTTGGGAGGCAGAGACAGGAGGATCAGAAATTCAAACCTAGCCTGGACTGCATGAGATTCTATCTTAAAAAAAAAATGCCTCTTTGGAAAATGCTTTTGTATGAAAGTCCCTTTTATATAACATGCATGCTAGGCAAACACTGCTTGAGCCACATGCCCAGTCCTGTACTGTTCATCCTTGTAGCCTTAGGTCACATAGTAGACTTCAGTAGATGGGAATTGAATGATTAAATGAGATCTGAAGCTTGAAATTGATGGGAAAGAAATTATGTAGTAAAATTTGACCTACCAGGAAAACCAAGTGGACTAATTTAGAGACCTCCCTTTCTCCTTCCCAATCCTGTAACCATATATTCTTAAAAGCATTGGCTTAATGTTTAAGATGAGTGATGTCAAGGTACAGGAAGCCAGAGCTCTCATTCAGCAGTCATAACTGATTTGTGCCACGCCTGGTACTAGATAACAAGCAAAGGTACAGAGTTAAACAGGGTCCCTTATAAGACGTAGACTCAAGTGAAGATGTTAATAATTACCATCTTGATACTCTTTGAAATTTAAGGCAGCTTTGTTATTGGCACGCCAGTGAATTAAACTATGTAGTGTGAAGTGAACAGAGAGGAGTGGATGACTTGGGAGTCATGGAACGATAACAGACACTTCTGTGGAGTTGGATGAGACATTTATTAAAGTTGAGTGTTCTTTAGTTCATTTGAGGAATGTTCGACTAGTTGAGGTAGTAAAGGTTTATAAAGCTTTTTTCTTTCTTTTTTCCAATAGAAAATCTTGTTGGAACCCATGATGCCCCTATCAGATGCGTTGAATACTGTCCAGAAGTAAATGTGATGGTCACTGGCAGTTGGGATCAGACAGTTAAATTGTGGGATCCCAGGACTCCTTGTAATGCGGGGACCTTCTCTCAGCCTGAAAAAGTAGGATTTTTATATTCATCAGAGGTGCTGTGGTCCTGGGAGCAATTTGTTTTGTGGCATGTTTGATGAATATGCTCTTGAATAGTTTAAGAGTTGACAGTCTGTTTTCAGAAACCCAACTACGCAGAAATACTTTAATGCAAAGGGGAATTAACTTGGATTTTGGTCATCTTTTCCTGTCAGTTACATATACGTGTACTGGTGAGTATGAGCTTAAATGAACCTGATTTCCATGTATTGTTAATGCTTTAAATCTTGGGTCTGAGAGGCAGCTCTACCAATTCAGAGAAGTCATTTACCAAGACTCTCTGATTGTCTTAAACTGGGTTTGACGTGCCCAAGCCAGAAAATGGCATGGAGCTTCATCACTCATTTTTATTTGTCACCTGAGGTGTCATTTGAGTTGGTGTCGAGGATGAAATGGGCAGTTATTTCATGTTTAGTGAAAAGGTGTCATCTGGCTTTAACTCCTTGTGCATGTTTAATTGCTGACTTAATTTGAAGGTACTTTGTGAGTGGCACTTTTAAAAACAAACTTTGTACCATTCTAACCTTTGATCTGTGTGATAAATCTGGGTATTCTTGCTCTGTCCTCCTCAGACCTTATCAGGTGGTAGTTAATTTTAAAGATGGATTGTTGTAGCAATTTAAAGATATCCTTCACTTGAGTCTGTTTCCTCAGTGTAAATACACTGTTCAGTTCTTGTTAGCCATCATTACATACAGTAGTGCATCCAAAGAGCCATTATTTTTGTCATCACAGTCGAATCTACTCCTGGCAAGACCTTTGTTCAGAATAAAATAATTGCATTGTTTCTAGTTTTGATTTATGGTTGTGTGTAACATGTTAAGAACTGTGATAAATTGCCAACGGAATATCATATAATGGACAGCCACACTGAATCAAGCTGCTTATTGGTTCAGCAAGGTTCATTATGTCACTTTTTTAAATACTTTCTTTGATAAATGTATATACCTAGTCACTAGTATGACAGTGGTTTTCCTTGATTTATGGTCAGTACGGATAGAAAGCACTATTAAAGCTTGTGTGTCACCTGTGTAGTAAAGATTTAAGGTAAAATTCCTCATATGATTGTACTGTTATAAATCCATCTTTCTGGTTTCTATATTTTTTAAGTTGGTACTTCATATATCTTAGATTTTCCATTTTTTTCTGGAAAACTTGGGTTTCTGAATAAACATTACAATAGTCTTTATATTTAAATATGTAAGCATTAAGTATTTCAATCTTTTTAATTCTTGTTTTTCACCCAGTTGCGTTAGTTGTTGAATTTTAAAGTCATATTGTAGTGACTAGGTTGGGCGTTGTATTGTAACCTAGCCTGTAGCTATAGCCTGGTTAATGTTCTGGTGATCATGAAGAGATGCCTTACCATATCATGGGAGCTCTACTACATTTTTAATAGAAATTCTGCAGGGTTGAAAAATGAATAACAACCTCAGCTCTGGACCCCAAATCTGCATTTTAAAAGAAATAACTTAATATGATCAGAAAGATGTTTTTTGCTGCCTTTTCATGAATTAAATACCTCATGAAATGTTTCTAAGTAACATTTCATTGTAAGTAAGCCACTAAATGTTCTGTTTGTAGGAAATTTTATTATTAGTTATAAAAGGATTTTTGTGGAAGCTTAAATATTGAAGAAGACAGTGCGAGGGGAGAAATAGACAGCTCTCAGGGTGCGAAACGCCTTAGAAGTGTTCTCCCTAGGCTGAGCTTCCTTCCCGAATGCTGAAGGTGACATCAGAGTGTAAGAATTAGCTTTGCCACCTGCAGGACAGCTATCCTTACCTTTAATTTTGCTTTTAGCAAAGCCAATTAAATAGCCAGTCAGTGGTGCTGTCTCCGCCCTTCCTAGGCAGGCCTCTATTCATCAAAGCAGTGGGGAGAAGCCAAGAGTTACAGAGCTGCAAAATGGAATCTTTCAGAAGCTGGTCGGGTCATAGGAAAAGAACTTAGAAAGTGATTGTTTTGTGAAAAGCCAAAAGCTCATTGAAAGGTGTCTTGACTTTATTGTCTCATCCTTGAGTGCATTCTAATATGTCTGTCTTAAATGAAGCAAGAAATGTGGGAAAAGTTGTTTTAGTAACGAAGACCATGAGGTTTCTAAAGCCTCTGCAGACTTACTGGAATGCTCTTTTTGCTTAGTGAGCTTACCAAGAATGCTGCCTGGGCTTGCTAGTTTGTGTAACTCACTTCATTAACTATCTACAATTGATACCTGTGATTGGGAACCCATTCTGCTAACTTTTACGGTTTTAAGGTTAGATGAACTTTGGGAGTAAAATACCACTTTCAGGAAGTGCATGAGTTTTAGCAAGTTTTGATGTCTCCTGAAAGGTGTACACCCTGTCAGTGTCTGGTGACCGGCTGATTGTGGGGACCGCAGGCCGAAGAGTATTGGTGTGGGACCTGAGGAACATGGGCTACGTGCAGCAGCGCCGGGAGTCCAGCCTGAAGTACCAGACACGCTGCATCCGTGCGTTCCCAAATAAGCAGGTACCGGTCTGCCCACCCCTCTCCTGGAATTTCAGAGTAGTGACTTAAAATTCGCTGTTTGATCTGTTCTGGCCTATACATTTTTTTTTTTTTTTTTTTACCCTGAGGCAGGTTCTCCCTGTAGCCCTGGAACTGGCTACAAAGACAAGGCTGGCCTCCATCTTACAGAAAGATCTGCCTGCCTCTGCCTCTGCCTCTGCCTCCTGAGTGCTGAGATTTAAGAGTTCTGGGATTAAAGGCACATGTGCCATCATGCCTAGCTCTACACTCTTTAAAGACAGCCTCCTGTTAAAGGGGAATAGATTTGTTTGTTCTGGGGAAAGATGTTGATGTTCAGAGAGGTCATGTCTGCATAGGTGTAGTTCTTTACCTTGGTATGGGATGCTCGATAACTAATCAAAGAGCTTTGCATATTCCAACTCAAAGCCAGTCAGTTAAAGCTTAAATTTAGAAATTTAGGGTTCTAGAATCCGCTTTTTTAAGTAACTGAGGCTGACCTCAGTTCTGCACTTCTGGCCCCCGCTTCTCCAGTGTTGGGATTACAGGCGTGTTCCTCTTCACACCTGGCTTTTTGTGTGTTTTTAAAAACCTTAATATCAATAGAATTGTTTTTTCACTTAACAATAGACTTTTGTTTTTTTCTTCTTTTAGAACTCCACTGAGCTCAGGGAGTGCCTCACGTGATGGCTGACTTGATGTACAGAGTGGGTCTCCTTCCATCACCACTAAAGTGATTAGCTCCTTCATTATTGAGCGCCCCTTAGGGGAGGCCACCTTTAGAATTCTAGCCCTCAGGAGTCAGAGGCAAGGTGGATTGTGAGTTCAAGGTCATTCTGGGCTATAAAGTGAGTCCTTGTGTCCAGAAAGTTGTAAGGGGAGTTGGTTGTGAGGTGAGCTGCTAAAAGGATATTTTAAGAAGAAATGTCACTTAAAATAGCAGCAATTTGGAACCGTGGCCGTCCTGTAGTAACTGAAGAACGTGAAGCTTTTTAAGCCCATTGTCTTGATGTGTCTCAAGTCTTAAACCTCAAGTGGTAATCACTGTCTATTTCAGGAAGTAAATAGCCACTGAAGCTAAGGAATTGCAGTTAGGGAAACTTAAGAGGTTTAAATATGATTAAAATATGCTTGCATTGCAAAAAGTATTTTTTGTGTCTTTCTGGCTCAGATTTCGTGTAGGATGATCTCTGTCATATAATGGAAGTTTAAAATAGAATCTTACTTAAAAAATGGAGATGACTCCGAGGGTAAAGGTACTTTTTCCCAAGCCTGAGGACCTGCGTCTGTCCCTAGGACCTACATGGTGGACACAGACACACACACAAATGTAATTTAAAGCTTTTTAAAATAGGATTTTATTGAGTTCTTTTTCTGTAAGCCGTTTTTGAGAATGAAAGTCTGGGTTTGTGCAAACCTGACAAGCTGAATAGTGTGTGCAAGAGGCAAAATGACTGAGATGGAAGACTGGGGTTCCGGTTTGTTTGGATTATTGATGGTCCTGATGATGAGGGAAACAGTTATTAAAGTTAGAGATGAAGAGGCTGTGGTTTGTAGAAGAGCGGGTTTTAAGTGAGGGAACAAATTTGAGTCCCCTTCTGGGCAGGAAGCAAATGATACTAAAACTTACAATTCTTGTTTATGTTTGACAAAACAAATTGTCATTTTTTGATGCAATGTGCTAGGCACTGGTACAGTGGAGAAAAGCAAGTGATGGTAAACAGCCTTAGTCCTTACAGAACCGGAGTTAGTGTATGGCACTTTACAGAGATGTCATAACTATGTGAATACAGCTTAAACACTTTGTTAAACCTGACTGAACCTTCATTTATGAAGTAATCATCTTTATTATGGATTGAATTCGGGAAGTAGTGCCTTGTTTCTAGAAGGTGGATTTTGCTATTTTTGTCTTGCTTTCCTCCTGGCAGGGTTATGTATTAAGCTCTATTGAAGGCCGAGTGGCAGTTGAATACTTGGACCCAAGCCCTGAGGTGCAGAAGAAGAAGTATGCCTTCAAGTGCCACAGGCTGAAGGAGAATAACATAGAGCAGATCTACCCAGTCAATGCCATTTCGTTCCACAATATCCACAACACATTTGCCACAGGTAAAGTATGGCATGCTAACCTTTGTCTGATTTTAAGATTGCATACCATTTATGCTTAGGCAGAATTATTTTTTAAGAATTTCTGCTTGTTTTGAAAAAAATCTGTTACAGTGCTTCTTGGGGAAATGTAATTTCAGTGACCTTAAAATGACTTGTTTGTTAAGATAATAGTTATTTTAGTATCTGGTATTGAGAGCCATTTTAATTATTTAAAATCACTTGCAGGTGGTTCTGATGGATTTGTCAATATTTGGGACCCATTTAACAAAAAGCGACTGTGCCAGTTCCATCGGTACCCCACCAGCATCGCATCACTTGCCTTCAGTAGTGATGGGACTACGCTTGCAATAGCATCATCATATATGTATGAAATGGATGACACAGAACATCCCGAAGATGGTATCTTCATTCGCCAAGTGACAGATGCAGAAACAAAACCCAAGTGAGTATGCGTCACCTGTGCTCGAGCCTTGTCTTGCATTCAACCCAGGATTTATTAATTTTTCTAAATTCATGAATAGCATTGTTGATGCCTGCTCGATATTACAGCTGACTGTAGGGCTGGAGTTGATTTTATCTTGTTCTCCCAAGCTTTCAATATCCGTAGGTTGATAGACGTCTGATGGATAAAATTGTGCCTAGTTGTTTTGTGGAGAAGAATGTCAAACTCCCCTTCTTCTTGAATAGACTATTATTTGACTCTCTGGAGTTCTAACTAGCTCATTGCTTCAAAATTAAGTCAAGGAATTCAAGAATAATTTATTTTAGTAAATTCTATTTAAGATATTTAAGAATTCGAACTGCCAAAAATCTTTCCTCTCCATGGAGGTTGTTTCTGTAATATTTACACAAAGTGAGTGACCTTCCGGTCTTACTGGAAACCCAGAGTAATGGCTTTGCTCAGATAGCAAATTTCCTCAGTTTTGAAGTTTTCATGGATGCCCTGACTGTGGGTTCTAACTCTTGACTGAAAGGAGGAACCATCTGCATTTTTGATAGCAGCAAAGCAAAGCTTTTTAGTCAGCTACCTCTGTAAGGCTTGTGAGACCTTGGAGGCTTAGGCACATCCTTCACCTAAAGTGCCTGCCCCATGTATTTGTCCTAGTCCTTTCCCTCTGTCCCCAGGCCCTGGAAGAAAGTCCTCAATAAATAGTGTGGAATAAATGAGTGCTTGTGGGATTTCTGTAATTGTCTGAATTAAACTGTATATGGTATCCTTGTGAAATTTGCTGGGCTCCTGAGAAGGCAGAGTTTTAAATGCTATAGAAAAGTTTTAGAATGTGAAGCCTGTTGGATAAAGGGCTTATGTTTGCTTTTAATCTGTCACTTTTGTATTTCCTGTCCTGGCTGGCCATTTTGATCTCATGCTGTTCTTTTTTTCTTTTGAACTTGTAGGTCACCATGTCCTTGACAAGATTTCATTTACTTAAGTGCCATGTTGATGATAATAAAACAATTTCTACTCCCCAATGGTGGATTTATTATTGTTAACAAAGAAACCAGGGAAATAACTAATTTTAATACTCTAAGAACCTGAAAATAATGGAAAAGAGATTTTTATTGTTGTTTTTTTAATAAACATTTAAGTGCATGAGATGGTTTGATGGTTTGCTGCATTAAAGGTATTTGGGCAAACAAAATTTGAGGGCAGTGACTGCACTTTTGAGAATCGATTTTGACCTTGGTTTTTCTTTCCAATGTGGAAATAAATGTAAGTAGAGGTGGTAGAAATCCCTTTGCTTTCTTTCTGGACCTTAAATGGTAAAGGAAAAGGCTCTTGAGCCATTGATTCCTTTGCTGGTGATAGTTGCTAATTCGAAAGCTGCTTCAGACTGCCTCATGAGGAGGTTAATCTACAATTAAACAATATTTCCTCTTGGCCGTCCATTATTTTCTGAAGCAGATGGTTCATCATTTCCTGGGCTGTTAAACAAAGCAAGGTTAAGGTTAGACTCTTGGGAATCAGCTAGTTTTCAATCTTATTAGGGTGCAGAAGGAAAACTAATAAGAAAACCTCCTAATATCATTTTGTGACTGTAAACAATTATTTATTAGCAAACAATTGATCCCAGAAGGGCAAATTGTTTGAGTCAGTAATGAGCTGAGAAAAGACAGAACACATCTGTGTATTTGGAAAAATAATTGTAACGTAATTGCAGTGCATTTAGACAGGCATCTATTTGGACCTGTTTCTATCTCTAAATGAATTTTTGGAAACATTAATGAGGTTTACATATTTCTCTGACATTTATATAGTTCTCATGACCATTTCAGTTGCCCAGCCGCTGGTGATTAAGGTTAAAAAGAAAAATGACAGTGAGAATGAGATTCATTTTGATGTAATGTCTTGTACCAGAACACGAACTTAGGTTGGCCTTTTTAAAGTATTTCTAAGTAGTGTTTTTATTGTCAGACTTTTTCATTTGCATTATTTGTAAATGTATGTCTCTGAAAAAGATCTAAATCTTTGCTGAAATTTATTTTGTACATGATGCAAGTATTTCAACGAGGAATTAGTGTTAAGTCTAAACGAATCTTTTGAAATGTATTTTCTTCATTGCAGGTCCACCTAATCATCTGGTGAAAGTGGTTTCTCTGTGGAAAGCCTTGTTTGCTTCCTACAAACACATGTTTATCCCCTAAGGGGTGGTTGTAGTCATGTGGACATGTTTAGTATGTGGATTTCTGTTTTCTGCCTTAACAGAGACTTGTCTGTGTACTCCGTGAAACCTTGTTCAGGGTGGGGCATCTTTGTGTCCTTGTACAGTAGTTTGAAGAATTCCCCTGCCTCTAGCAAGCCGAGTTACTGTTCATGAGCATTTGAGCTCTTTGTAGCACAGTCTAAACCTGTTATTTTCCTCCTGTCTAATAAATCAGAAACTTGGAACTTTTTGGATGTTTTTAAGATATTGGTAATTAATGTCATTTATTACATGAATAGGTTTCTCTTAAGTGATGAGTGCTCTTCATCAAGGGCATGTTGAGGATGACCTTTCACCTTTACGCCTCCTCTGCCTCTCTTGATTATGTCTACTCTTATACATTGGGGATTCAGTCCTGGATAAAGTGATCTGTTGGAGCTCAGCTGTACTCCCTCGGAGGATCAGTGGAGCCTTTGAGCCAACTCTGCGCCTCCCCTCAGGACATGCCCAGACTGGCAACTCGGCATCTGTTGGCAGAATTCTAGTGTTGCCAGCTCCATAGAGCACACAGCTCACACATCTCTGTGCCGATGGAATCGTCATCTGCTTGTGGAGAGCCAGATGACAGGCCCTTCTGAACTTATCCATCAAATACTAAATCAAAGTAAAGCCCTTGGGATGGTAAATAATGTAATAGCCAGGAACCGATGGGTGGTGTTGGTTCTTAGTGTAATTATGTGCTTTTCAAAGTTAGAACCAATTGGTTGAGAGCACGGTATAAGTTTAAGACATTGTCTAACTGAAGGAGAGCTAATCTGGTGGTGTTAAGATAGCAGATTAAAGCCATGTGGTGGACTTGGTTTTGAAGGTGCCGTATGGGAGAGCGTTCTTGATGGTTCGGTTTGGATGTCCTCCTGCCTCTTGAAATCCAGTGTGGTTCCGCCCCAACCCTCATGTCCCCTGCATACTGCTTACCCAGCTCACTTTCATGGTGGCCCAATTTATTTTTTATAGCTGCCATTGCCCGGTTTCTCAGGCGTAGTTACCTAGCCATTTTCAGGGGTTCTCCTTACCTGTCTTTTAGGTGCCCCTTCAGTTTCTGCCTGGTGCTAGTGTTCCCAGTCTTTGGGTCAGTCTTTCACATTGCAACTCGTCCCTCAATCCTTTGCTTCCTACAGCACTGACATTTCAAGGATTTTAGCTGTGCAGAGCACAAATCAGTGACGTGACTGAAGGTTTATTGATAACACGTTACCCTTTCTGCATGTGGAGTATCTGATGTGCATGTTTCCTTTTATGGTGCTTTGAATTTATTTTTCAATAAATGCATTGCTACCTGTAATTTTTAGAAACTGTGTTGCAAGATTAAAAAACCCAACTTCTGTCATGCCATACTTGGAGTCTGCTAGTGTTTCTATTTCTCTCTCTCTCTTTTTTTTTTTTTTTTTGGTCTTTTTGAGACAGGGTCTCCCAGTAGCCCCAGCTGTCCTGGAACTTATATGTAGACCAGGCTGGCCTTGAACTCACAAAGATCTGCCTGCCTCTCTGCCTCCCGAGTGCTGGGATTAAAGGCGTGCACCACCATGCCCGGCTCTATTTCTCTCTTTTTAAAATAAGTCTGCCTCCCGAGTGCTGGGATTAAAGGCGTGCACCACCACGCCTGGCTCTATCTATTTCTCTCTTTTTAAAATGTTTTTTTTTTTTAAATTTTATTTTTATGTGTATGAGTGTATTGCCTGCATGTTGTGTAAGTGCACCTGTGTTGGGCAATGCGGAGGTCAGAAGAAGACATCAAATTCCCCCGGAACTGGAGTTACAGACAGTTGTTAGCCACCATATGGCTGCCGGGAACCGAACCTGGGTCCTCTGCATGAACAGTCTCCCCAGCCCTGTATCCCGCTCTCATAGTAGCCTTTTAGTAATGGCATAGAAAGCTTGCTTCCAAAGCTTCAGCTATCAGGAAGGGACTGTTGACATAATGTGTTCTCAGGAAAATGGGGGCTTCTCTTTACTCAGAATTCTGGCAAGTAGCGGAGAACCTGTGGTTCTGAGCCCCACTTGTGGGAGGTGAAAAGTGTTCGGCTGGTTGGGCTTTGTTAGAAGGCTGAGGCTCGACTGCCCCTTTTGGCTTTGGTGTCTGGCCTTTCCCTGTTTCCCCTTGGTTATCTGTTAAACGCTAGTGGATTTTTGTTTTTGTTAGTTTGTGCAATGTTTTTTTTGTTTTGTTTTGTTTTGTTTTTGTTTTAACTTTTTGAGACAGGGTCTCCCTGTAGCCCCAGCTGGCCTGGAAATCGCAATATGGACCAGGCTGGCCTTGAACTCAGATCCTCCTGTCTCTCCCTCCCAGATACTGGGACTACAGGTGTATGCCACCACGCCTGGCTAATGCTGTGGTTTTAATCTAGGCCTGGAGTATGCTAGGCAAGTGTCATACCACTGAGCTCTATACCCTGGGTCCTATTTATTTAAAGTTTTAAAAAATTGCATTTATTGTCTGGCATGGTGGCACATGCCTTTAATCCTAGAACTGGGGAGGCAGAGGCCGAGGCCAGACAGAGCTGTTTGAAAAAAAAGAAAACAAAATATTTGTGTGTGTGTCGTGTGTGGACATGCCACAATGAGCCGTGGCGGTCAGAGAACAGCTTTGTTAGTTGGAATCTACATGCTGGAAGGAGAACCTAACAAAGTTATATTGAACTCAGGTTGTCACTAAGACATCCTGCTGGCCCTTACTATGTGTGTGTGTGTGTGTGTGTGTGTGTGTGTGTGTGTGTGTGTTCTAGGTTGAGCAGTCTAGGCCTTGAATTTGGTGATCCTTCTGTGATCCCTAGTGAGATTATAGACCTGTGTCTCAGTCCTGGCAAACTAGCATTTCCTAAGGCATTTTCATTTTCAGTGAAAAAGATTCTGTGGTCAAGGAAGACATTTCCCTGTGTGGAGAGTCCACATACAGCCTCCCCAGAGCCTGGAGAGCCCTACCAGCAGGATGGTCCTTATATGTTTGTGTGTCTTGTGAGTGAATTCCATGTGTGTGCAGGCTGGAGGCCAGAAGAGGCCTGTTAAATCCACTAGTTACAGGTGGTTGCCTGAAATGAGTACTGGGACCTGAAATCCTCCAAGAGCAGCACGTGCTCTGAACTCAATCTCTAGCGCCCATCCACCCCATAGATTTTTTTAATTTGGTGCCCTTGACTTCCTTTGACCTGCAAGTCTGCTGTCTGCTTGGTGCTGTACCCCCAACCTGCAATCATTTTACCCCTTCCCATTCTCAGAAAGTACTGGAATTTTGATACACTATGCGCTGGGCTAGGGGCTGGAGAGACCATCCAGCTGTTAGGAGCACTGGTTGCTCTTTCAGAGGACCCAAGTTTGGTTCCCATCATTTACATGGTGGCTGACAATAGTCACTAACTCCATTTCCAGGAGATCTGATGCCCTCGTCTGACCTCTGGGCATCGCACACCCATGGTACACTTACATACATATACAAAACACTCATACACGTAAAATAAAAATATGTAGTTACAGAAAAAAGAGCTAGGCTGTTTAACCGTAATTGCCAGTCTCGGTAGTCTGCTCTTTCCAGATTTTTTCAGGTTTCAAATTGAACTTGGAAGGTCTTGTTCAAGGTACCTGTCCTATTTACTTTGTATTGGTGTGATAAAACACCGACCAAAACCAACTTGGGGAGCAAAGTGTTCATTTCATCTTACGTCTTACAGTCCATCATGGGAATCCAGGACAGGAGCTCAGGACAGGAACCTGGAGGCGGCAAGTGCTCTTAACCTGCTGAGCCATCTCTCCAGCCCCTGGTGATCACTCTTAATGTCTGAGGTCCTTTAAAACAGGCAACCGTGACACCTGTGACTTCCACTTTAAACAGGAAGGAGCCCAGGACCCTGTGTGATCACCAAGCCACCTCAGTGGCATGTCCTGTCACTGTTGCGGGTTGAATCTGCTCTTCACTAGGACGGCCCTTTGAATCTTGGAGTCGAGCCTTGATTCTGACTTTGGTGCCTAATTCTTTGCATTCCTAGGTAAATTAATTTCTTCATCTATAGTATGAAGGTGATACTTAGCTTTTAGCATTATGAACAAGTAGTAAACTTTACCAGGATGTACCAGACATGGTGAATGAAACCCTCTCCTGTCTGGGGATGAAACTTAGTGGCTGGACCCTTGCTTCATGTGTGCGAGGCTCTGGGTTCAGTCTCCAGCATGGAAAGAAAAATTAGATGTAATTAACTGGTCAACTGACTTATTTTAGTATTTTTCATAGGTTGGTATGGTTCTCGGGTGATTGTTGAATCCCTAATTATTAAATATGTCAGTGTATTTTAAAAACCTGAATGAAAATAAATGCAGATCACATCTATAAACCACCACATAGTTTTAAAATGTTCAGTATGTTGTCCCGTTTTAAAATAACTTGAAGCCTCGTTGCTCTTTACGCACCCTGTTCCCATTTTTATATTATTTATTTTTATTTTATGTGTATGAGTGTATTGCCTGCATGTAAGTGAGTGCACTGTGTCGTGCAATGCCGCAGAGGTCAGAAGAGGGCTTTGGATTCCCCTGGAACTGGAGTTAAGGACGGTTTGTAGCCGCCATGTGGGTGCTGGGAATCGAACCCATGTACTCTGCAAGAGGAGTCAGTGCTCTTAACCGCTGAGCCATCTCTCCACCCCCGTGTACAGTATTC